AGCAATGGAAATATTGTAGTGACTGAAAAATCAATCTTCCCTTTTATAACCCCCCCCCCAACAAAAGGAATGCTAATTCCTTGAGTTAGGTTCTTTCCATGTTGCTTGAAAGGAGACCTTTCCTGTGTTTGAGGGCTGCTTCTGAAAGTCTGTGTACACCTGCATAGCCAGGTTTCCTGATGACAATTACTTCTGCTTCCTTCTCTTTTGTCTCTTGTGCTCCCCCAGAGCATTCTGGGGAGTTTGGGTCCATTTCTGTGGAATGTAGTTCTCACCCACTTTTGCTTTCCTGTCTGGGGAGCTGTCAAAATTTGGGCTAAAGTGGTGTGTTATGTGAGCCTGCTGTGAACAACTTAGCAAAGGAGCCCGGTGTCCTCAGTAGACAGAGTAGGTAATAAGTCTTGTGAGCAGGATTGATGATAAAGAAAGGAAGGGAAAAAAAAAAAAAAAACAGAACGAAGAGATGAGGACAGCCAAACGGATTCCAGCTAAAACGCATTCAGCTTGCTAATGAATCTACTCACTAGTACTGAATTCTTGATACTCTCCTCACTTCTCAAATCAAGTTAAAAAATTGATTCCATGCCAGTTACAAGAGGCAAAGCTGTCACTTAAGAGGGAGATTAACTTGCTTTGTTGAATACTGACAGGGCACAGGAAGGGAGGGATCCACATAGAATGCAGTCTAATTTTTAGTAATGTCAAAATCTGAACTAGAAGTAAATTGAAGATTTGTGATCTGCCCTACTATCCAATCCAGGCTAAGGTAAACCTGAAAAGGAAATTTAAGAAGTCCCAAACTAACAAGATTTTTTCTTATCTCTGTGGATTTTGCCAGGACTAGTCAACCCTTTAAAGGTACAGATTCAGGCCTCTCCAGAGTCCACACTGTCATACTTAGTCAGATAGACAGATCAAGAAAGTTTGGGTGTATTGTTGGCTCTGCCTGGCTGCAAACATTGGGAAGCTCTGTGCATGGGGAAGTCAGCTAAATTGAGGACTAGTCACCAAGGATCCCAATGTCAAGCGATGCTCCCTGCCAGAGTAGACAGTTTTCTGTTACTGCTGGGGCTCCTGGGAATTGTGTACATTCTGGTTAGATCTGTGAACACTACTCTACCTGGCTGCCCATACCCCAGCGTGATTTCTTTTAACCACCACATTTTGCCCTATGGATTTACATGCTATCAAACTGATGTTTAAACATATTTAAAGTGACCCTCATTGTGTCCTTGCATATATAGTAATGCTGAGCATAGTCAATGCCAAGAAAAAGTGCTATAAATGCATAAAATTACAAAAATGGTAAAAGAGTGTAAAAATGTGGATATGTGGGGCAGGTGAGAACTCTCAAAAGTAGTGACACTGTACATTATTCTTTTCTTCAGTTCTTCCTATTTTTTAGATAAATTGGAATATTCACAAAGGACTGGAGATTTCTTGAGAAATTGTAAATGAAAGTACATCTGGGGCCTCCCTGGTGGCGCAGCGGTTGAGCGCGGGGTTGCAAAAGCTGCCCGCAGCCTCTGCAGTGCTGGTTCGATCCCCGGCCGCTGGGCGAGGGTCCCACATGGCGCACAGACCTCTCCTGCTGCCCGCTGCTCCCCTAAGCAATGTACTTCAGTCTGCCTGCTCTGCTCCCCACTCTGGCTCTGGTGAATTCTCTCACCCTCCCGCCCTTCTGACTGTACCCATACCCAGTGCTTGTATAAATAAATAAATCAATCTTTAAATAAAAAAAAGAAAGTACATCTGGAAAATCGGCTTTTCTGATAAAATCACGGAAAATATGTGAAAGGTTCTAAGTATGCCTTTCACTGTGACATCGTGTCAGATCAGTCTTAAAGAAGGGATAAACATGGCATTGGTTTTCCTTCAGCTGGAACTTATATCAAATTCTTAAGCAGGAAGAGGAACAGAGTGGGGCCTCTGTGCAAATCCTGGATCAACTTGACACTAGTTCTTTCCATGAGCTACCTGAGTTAAACTCCTTTCTCCTGTGTTTTTCCAGGGAAGAATGGTGACAATCCCTCTTTACATTTAATTCTTCCCAATCTTGTTGGAAAGAGCCATTAGTTTATGTTTTATTCTTTGTGTCTATAAGATCTTGGGATGAAATACTCTCCATAAACCACAAAGCCTATTACTATTTTAAGTACCTATATCTTCCAGGAGAAGGAACACGCTGGCTCCCTGCAGGAGAAATAAATGGAGTCAGCTTTCTGGCTGGCACACTGTCTTCAAGAAAAAATTTAAAAAGACACAGATCTTGTTCTATCTACTGCGGAAAATGTGTCCAGATCTGGTAAAGCAAAATACAAATTTCAGAGGCATTATGTGTTCCACACTGTGCTACACAAACCATTTTTGTTTGTTTGTTTTGCTTTGCTTTTTGTTTTGGGGCCCAAAAGAACAAGCACCGAACACAACTAGGATGTTGATAAAATGCATTTTCTAGGATGTGTTTAGGAAGAAACATGTTCCTTCTCCTATTTCAGTGTCTTGTTTCATGGCTGTGAAGGAAAGAAAATGACTTTAGCTACCTGCATCTCAGATGGTGTGTGCAGTGTGGAGGAGCACCTGGCACTTGTGAACAAAACAGCATGAAAAAATATTTTTGTTCAGTTTTCCCATTGTAATCTTCCTTAAGAGATTTTTTGGTCCCTTTCTTTGTGTTCTTGTCAAGATTGACAAGCATCCGTGTTACCAAGTGACATGAAGTTCTTGCTTGAATAATCATGACTAAAATCCAGGATATTTCAAAGCACATTATTGACTGGGAGAGCCACCCACTAGATCGAATTCTTCAGCATTAACTCTGAGTGACAGCAGTGAGTTAGTGCTTTTTCCCCAAATTCCCTGGTCCCCCCCATGTCCCTCCTATAGTTCCAGTGTTGGCATCCTCATTTCTTTAGGGTAGATTGGCTACTCATGCCTTCTCCAATGCAGATCAACCCTTAGTCTTGACTCATTACTTGGGCAATACAATTTTTAACCTTGTGCATTCATTTATCATTTGTACAAAAAGGACACACAATTATTGCAAATTTACTGCTCACAGTGGTCATTAGCAGTTACAACTCCATTTTTAAAATAGGCACACACTGTATTTTAACCACTAAGCAACTCACCTAATAGTGAGTATGTATCAAATTACGGACTGAAGGAGAATATTGGCCTGAGTAGTTATTTGTAATCATTTTTAGAAACACTTGCTTTCCAAAGGGACTATGCAGAAATCCTAACGCTTTTCTGAAGGATGCTTATGTTATCAGCAGAATACAAAACTGAGCTTTGCAAACAGTCTCTAGAAAATTATTTTTAGTATATAATTCCTTAGAAACCGTTAGAATGGTCAATGAGTCATTCATCAGAATGATCTTAAAACTTTTTTTTTGACTCCTAGGTCATATATATTCCTATAATAGATAAAAGATGTTGTCATTATTATAGGAGTAAAATATTCAAAAGCATACCTGTGATTTATTCACCAAAATTCCCTTTATGATTATTTTTATATAACCCCTTTGATGGCTCGAGCATTTAAAATGTTTTGTTACGAATTCAGTGTTCGTGTAACACTGCTCATAGTGGCAGCTTAGGCCTGACCTGCTTTCCTTTTGGGAACTAGGACTTGGTCACTTTCAAATGTTTACTCCCCCGTTTTGCACTTTTTATACTTTATCTTTTCCTCTGGTCTGAGTGTTATGTAGCCTTCACCTTGGCTGAGGGCCTGGAGAGCTCACAGTTCAGTGTAGATACAGTCTCAGCTTCAGGAGCAGCTATCTGATTACTCTTTAAAGTGAAATCTGAAATTGTCATCTTTTCATCACTTCCCCTACTTCCTTAGGGCATAATGATTTCTCTGGACCGATATCCTCATAATTTGCTTCAGTGACACTCAGATGTTGTCTGGGATTTTTCCATTTCCAGTCACCTTTGTAGCTACTACGAAAATTTACTCCTTGTGTCTTACTATCCTTTTAATGTCTGTAACAGTTTTTTAACTATTTTCTTTTTAAAAATTTCCGAAAGCCGTGTTGACTATTTGTAAAGGTGATTTCCTTAACTCGAAGCTTCCTGATCTTAACATTCTGAATGTTTTTTCCCACGTTTTAAAAATTCTTCCCTCTTATTTATGCCTACCACTTGAATTTTATATTTCCTTCACTCTAGAGTTACTATGTTATGCTTACACATAATGTCTGCCTTTAATTGTAAACTTTCAAAGTACAGATTGTAAACATTAATTTTAATTCTGCACAGCACCGAGCACAATGTCATGATCACTCAGATGTTTTTGATGATGATGGTGAGGATGATAATGACAACGTAATGCTGTTCTGATTTGAAAAATCCCACATAGGCAGTCCAGTATATCATTTAAAAAATATATGAGTTGTTCCTCATTCTATAAAGCTGTCATTCTTCATTAGCAAAAAAGGTTACAGTAAGTTATAATTAGTGTTTCATGCCCTGTCAAATAATTAAGTATAATAAAAGCTTTCAGTGAGTTTAATGTAAACATGGTATAATTAAAGCCAAGTCTTGAAATGCATTAGGTGTCTGTTGTGTCCGATATTTGATTTTTCCCTCTACAGATGGAATCTTAAATTCTGCTTATAGCCATATCATCATCAAAGGCAAAAATTCATGTACATTATTCAAATGCAAGATGGGCTCTGCAGTGCCCAGCAAGGGACCAGTCAGACAATCAAATCACTTATACAACCCTGTTATTTACTGATATGGAAACTGAGTACCAAAGATTTTGTGTGACTTGCCCAAGGTCACACAGTGAGAAGTTCATTCTTCCATAATAGGGAGAATTGAGGTTTTGGGTTATATGGAAGTAATTATTATTGTTCCTGTCATTATTTCTTTCTTAAGTATATTTGCTGAAAAAAATGCTTAGTTTATCTTTATTTCTTGATGTGGTGAAAAAAATATGTGCAAAGTGAAAGAATATAATTTGCATTTGACTCGTATTTCACGGTCATTTTAGGATGCAGGGCTTATAGTGCCTATTTTAAGGCTGAAATACAGAGACAAAGATGAAATCTCACTATTTTCCTCATCAGAATAACTGGAATGTGCCTACATGCTTTTTAACCCTGCATTCTTTGAGCTTCTCAGACCTTCTCTAATACATGTTGTATTATCTTTCCTGTCCACAAAGATTTGAGAAATCAGCATAGTACAAGTAGCCCCTGAAATAAAGGCGTCATTCAAGGAACAAAGAAGTAGAAGGAGGGCTCCAATTAAAATGATGAAAATCTTTAATTTTTATTTAGGTATACTTGTATGGACACGTGTATATACAAATACAGATTGTATGGGTTGGTTTGTGTGTGGGTTTTTTTTTTTTACATTTTTTTTTTTACGTTTATATAATGTCAGCATTTCAAAACAGCACTTGATGAGTAAGTGCAAAGGAACTGCAAAGCAGGGCAGTACAAGCACAGGACCACACGGAGCTGGACTTCACACCCAGACGCACACACAATGAGTGGCTTCAATGGGGTGTCAAGGGTAAGCATGGAAAGCGGATTTTGACTCATGGGTAACCTCCAACATGCCAGCATCTATTAGACTGTACAGACAATGGGAGCAAGCCCATTGTAGGGAGATTTGTCTCACATCCGAGCAGCTCTGGGGCAAATGCATGGGAAAAACTCAGTGATGCCAAACCAGAGACAGACCTGCCCATTCATGGTTTTGAGGGAAAAGAAAACGTGGGAGGAAGGCGAGAGACAAAAAAAAAATAAACATAAGAAATAAAAGGGGGTGTAGGCAAACAGGGGTGTCGGTGGAGGTGGTTTTCAAAAGAAAAATTAGTGACCACAGCTCTGGGAGCAATGAATGAAGGGGAGGAGTTTCAACTGTTTTCCTAATAGTGGGGAAACTAATAAAAATGGCTGCTGCAGTTGCTAAGGTACCAGAGAGCAGTGCCTGAAAATCCACAGGTCCTGGGGTGATTCTTCCTTTTACAATGACACAGAATGGGAAACAGCCCCAATTTCACCTTCCTAGACAGACTGATTTGCAACCTTTCCCCTATGTGGGCTGCATGTGATACTGGCAAGTCTCTTCCTGGGGAAAAATGAAACAGTTCATGAAAACCACCGCGAATTAAGAACTAAACCAAAGTACAGAACCGTTAGTAAATTCCCTAAACCTTTTGCAAACCAACTTGCTGGGGGTGGGGGTGGGTGAGGGGGGCACCACAGGGCTCCAACATCAGACCTTAAAACAGTAAGGACAAAATAGTGATCTAAAAAAGCCATGTTGTCCCAGGTCCCGAGATGGTGCAGTGAAGGTTGGGAGGGCGATGACCACGCGCGAGTCCTGTATGGAGCAGTGTCTCGGCCGTTTGTGACACTTCTCAGCCACGTATACATTGGATGTTTCAAAGCCTCAATGCATGTTTTGTATCCTGAAAGACTATTGTTCTCACTTACAAAAGACATAAGAATCAAATTAATACTTTATTATCAAACACTATATACAACAGAGGTCGCTAATAATACAGAATTTAAAGAACGCAGTTTTTTTTTTTTTTAATGTTTTACTTTTCTTTCCTCTGCCACCCAAGAAAGTACAGTACAAAACAATAGTCTAAGCTAACACGACTGTTACCTGGTCTAGTAAAGGATACACGGTATCCACTAAACAGACAGATCCCTATTTCCCTGCTTCATGTTGCAAAGCCCTTGGCAACCAGGGGCAAAGGTCGCTGGGGTTTGACTAACTGGGGCTGAGAGTCAGCTGCGGGCTGCCCTTCAGACTTTTGATTGTTTTTGAAAAGTAAAAGCTGCTACGAAGTTGCATCGATATCCTCCTAAGCCCCCAGAGGGTTGTAACAATACCACAAAAGGCCACCAGCACTTTTGGACAAAATGAAAACTGTCTGATACCAATCATCTTCTTTTGAAAATTCCGTGGCAAGTGTTACCTACAATTATGTCACAGGTGGAGAAGCACACTGTCTACTGGTGGGGATAGTCTTGCTAATTTTTTTCTTTTTACTTAATTTGTAGTGGCACAACGGTGAAGTAAAGGGGTCTAATTTCACTGTGAAAAATGAAAGACATTGGCAGAGAAGGCCATGAGTAATTATTCCATCATTTGTTAGAGACAAGTGCTAGAAAAACCACAGAAGTCACCATTTCTAAAATGAAATTAGCACTGCTAATGTAGTTATGACTAACTGGAATCATTACAGGATCATTTGATTTCCTTGTGGTTATACAACATGCAGTATTATTTTGGTTCTGACTATTGATCCATTTTAGAAAGTATACCTGCCTCTACCCAAATCCCACTGGATCAACAAGCCTGTAACTATTAATAAAAAAGAAGTATTACTGGATATTACTGAGAGTACCGAGCATATAAATAAAGGCAAAAAGAATCCAATGCTGTGAACTTTTGTTTCAGTGAAATGGTGGCTGCCTTCTGTGATAAGACTCTCCACGCCAGAGAAGTTCCTGATGTGGGGAAATAGGATTGATTGTGTCTTTGAGGCTGGCAACCCCACTCACGTGGTTCCAAGTGAGAACAGACCCAGCAGTAACATCCACTCCAAATGCATCAGGTAAGCCCAGATTACATTTCAACATGTGTACAACTCTCCAGGGTGCAGAGCCTTTACAGCTGCCTTTCAGTCTCATATTTTTCCAATTCAGAACTATTCATAATGCTTAGCAAATTCCCATTCATAAAGTCTGTCCATAATATGACCCATCCCTTTTTTTACATATACATTTTTAAAAATATATAAAAAATCCTCATTTTGCTGGAATGCTTCCAAATTTTCACATCTTAGAGCATCACATTTTTTTTTTTATTTTTGGTTTGGTTCGAAAGGCGTGATTTTCTGTTGACATACTGTGCAGTAGGAAAAAAAAATCCAAAAACTAGATGTTTTTTTCATTGGTCTGACACTTTTCCCTGTCTAGGCTTTGGTGGTCAAAGTTCCTGACAGCCTCACGAGTAGGAAACCCCAAGCGTGCACTTCCTGGTCACCAACTGGAAGCATTCCTGGTGGACCATGCCAAGTTTCCTTAAACAGGGACATCCTTTGTCTCCTTCCGCCCCACCCCTACAATGAAACAAGATAGCCCCCATACTTCTAAATGTATCAAGGGATACCACTTTTTCTCACAAGTTTAAATAGGACAAGCATATATACTCACTCTCAGCATAAAGTATATCTAAATAATGTATTTTCTATTCTAGTGGATTTTTAAAAAAATATTTTGTTAAAGTCTTTGGGACTCCATCTTGTTTATCTCCCACAGATAAACACATGTTCCCCCTACGCTTCAGGCTGTGTCAGAAAGGGAAAGAATATAAAATCAACACTTGAATATTTTATTCCAAACTTTGGAATTTTTATTCCAAATTTCCCTTAAGCCCTCCCAAGTAGTGTTGACTGACTCTCCTGGTGACGGGGTTTGTGTCTGAGCCCCCAGAGGCGTGGAGTGTGGAGAAAAACGTGGGTTCTGGGGTGGGAGTTGGGGAAAGGCCACAGCACACTGGTGCTCCAGCAAAGCCAAATTACATCTCCTCTGGCCACTGACATCCTTTCCTTGGTACATACTGTCCCCAGAGAAGTATCCAAAGCTATTCCATTATGCACTCATCAACCCTGGCTTGTCAGCCTTGGGGAAGGTCACTTTATTCATAAAAATGCCTCTTTGAGCTTCTTTAAAAAAAAAAAGAAAAGTTGTAGCACCATGGTGATCTATATTCAAAGGAAAAAAAAAAAAAACAATCTGGTGTGCACTGCCCAGTCACCAAAAAAATTAGAGGCACTCACGCAAACACACCCCCACCAAACCCAGTTTTCTCTGTGTTCACACTTACTCTGTGCTAGCATTCCAACACCCAGCCTGCCTCCTCACAAAAGGGCTTCTTTTACAGAGTACAAGTTTTGCTGTCAAGAATGGTTTAAGACAGTCATATTAAAGAAAAAAGTGTCTCAACCTTTTAGAAGCCTGTTCACTTATACACTCCTAGAGGAAATGGTGTAATATTATATCTATTCTTAATACCTCCCCTCTGGACTTGACATGGTGACATGATGCCCTGCGCGATCATCTTACAGTCCTGAATGAGCAGGCATAAATATTGTATGGAGAGCGAAACCCTCCCGGGCCTCGCCATCACTGGCTGCATCTGCCACTATTCTTCCTTGTCCACATACTGCTGACACAGTGCGCAAACGAGGTGAGCTCTTAGAGGAGAAAGCACAGGAGCTGACAACCACTAGTGTCACTAGGACAATTTGGCATTTTCATCTGGAGTCCATTTAATTTGGAAGGGGTGAGAGAAGTCAAGGGCAAGGGCTTGGGGTGGGGTGGGGTGAGGGAGGCAGCAACTACTTTAGCCCCCCGGCCCCCAGTTGTTGCTTAGAATTCAGGCTGAAAGAAAGAAAACAAAAATCTGACATCTGCCAAAAAACCAATAACAAGTCCCTTCTTAGGATGAGCAGTTAGGTGGATCTCTGGTGTTCCAAGACCCTGATGTTTTCTGTGACAGGTGACGGGAGGAGAATGTGCTATAATGTCAAAAGCATCGCCAGGAGGAACAGTAGGATTGCCAAAAGGCGGCTGGGTAGCCTTGGTGTTTGTGCCGCGTTCTCGCCGCGGGATGGCTCGGCTGACTCATGTACGGTGTCATCTGTTCAAATAGAAAGCACACATTCCAATGAGATTTCACATCCTTAATAACTCTCTTGCAGCAGCCTGCTGTTAACAGACCTCGCCACCCTCTGCAAAGTAGGGTAATGAACCTTGTGCCATCATTGACTTTCATGTCTGCATAATCACTCATTATTTACAGCAAACAAAGGAGAGGCAGAGAAAATTGGACTTTCTCAGCAACATTAATGCTTTCCTTAAAAAATGAGGGGGGGTACTCTGCATCCAACTTTTGGCATGTGAGCTACTTTGGTTTGCTACCAGCCACACCTTGCTTAAACTTGAGATACTGGAATATAAAATTTAAAGCCAAGAAGTCACTGGAGAAGCGAACAACGTGCTTTGGGTAAATAACATGCTAAGGAAGGGTAGGGTGAGGCAGTTACGTTGGCTTATTAGAGGTTAACCAGAATTGTCTGCCCATTTACCTCTTTTTTTTAGGCATTTCATAGGAGTTGTGTTGAATGCCTGGCTGTTGGATGGCTAGATGAATTTTCAAATATGAAAAATTAAACGCCCAAATAATAGTATTTTAAATAAACTATACATGATGCCCAATAAACCGGTGCTCACTGGTTTGCCTACAATTAGAAATCAATTATGGTGCTATTTCCATTTCAAACCCTGTATCTCCAGGATTAAATTACTTGAACTTGACTATTTTTATTTTTATTGTGCCAAAGCTTGGCACATAAATTATCAGCCTGGATGCAAATTTTCCTCTAAATAAAATGGATTAAGTGAGTTAAGCCTCTCTTATTTAGCTATAAAGTGTTCTACGAGGTTGCCTCTGACTTTGGATAGCCTTGCTGATCTGCTTGATTAACAGGCTTAACTTCAAAACAGGAGCTTTGCAGCAATTAGTACTGAAAGATAGATCAGAGGCTTGCCTATGAGGCAAACTACACTCATGTCTTCTGTCTTCTTCCTTCAACCTGGCCTAACCTTTGTTTTTAGGCTAGATGATTTCTGAATTATATGTTCTTGAGGGCACACAGTGGGGTTCTGTGCAGATTTTATTTCAGCATTAAGGAAATTCCTGTGGAGCTCAGCAGTTGTCATCCTGGTTCCCTCAGTGGTCAACCATAGGGAATGGTCACAAGTGGATGCCCCATCTTGAACCCCTTAATAGATTTACTGTTATTTTAAACTCATATTTTCACACCACACATGTCACAATAATGATACTTTTTCTTCACTGGGATAGAGTCACATGTTACCCACTCAGGACTCCCCTGCTATCTGAAAGTATAAAATATTTGGCTTGATTTGGTAGGTTATTTTGGGGGTCGGGGAATGCTATTTATCATTAATTTAAATGGACATTTTTTTCAGCATTCCCAGACTCGCAAAATAACTTACCAAATCATAATAGGAAATTCTATTTTTGGATAATAATTCTATTTTATTTATTTTTTAAAGATTTATTTATTTATTTATACAAGCACTGGGTACAGTCAGAAGCACAGGAGGGTGAGAGAATTCACCAGAGTAAGAGTGGGGAACAGAACAGGCAGACTGACAAAACACACTGCTGAGGAGAGCAGTGGGTGCGGCAGGAGAGGTCTGTCACGCCATGTGGGACCCTCGCCGGAGGCTGGGGATTGAACCAGCACTGCAGAGGCTGCAGGGAGCCTCGCAGCCCAGCGCTCAACTGCTGCACCACCAGGGGAGGCCCTCAATTCTATTTTAATGGAATTACATATTATTTGGAAAATTAAATATTATTTGGATAATAATCAATACTATTTTAATAATCCAAAATTCTATTTTGGATAATAATTAAATAGGAAATCCTATTTTTAGATAGTGGGGGAACGCTGAACTTATCCTAAAATGACAACTTTCAGGCTCACCGACTGGGCCCTGCCACAGATATAGTCATGGGGGCTCTTTCTGTTCACATTCATTCCCAATGTGAACTATATCTTATAAGCATTGAGGCCATTTCCCTCCAGCTCTCATGATTTTAGCCTGTCCTCATGTAAAAGCTGCTGTATCCCTGTGTCAAATTTGTTCCCCTCTCCTGGACCTTAGCAAACCTGCATGGAGTGAGTGGCTATTAGCTTAGGAGACTAGAAAAGGTTAAGAAGCAAAATTGGGAAATTAAATGGATATACAGGAAAATAAAAGTCCTACAGAGTGTAGCCAAATACCTGTGGACACTTTTTTGACCCCTTTCTTTTCAGCCTTGCAAATGCATTGAATCTATAGATAACAGGAGGTAGAAGTAAATGCCCTTAATAGCCCTGGAATTAAAATCCAAATTACTTTTTTAAGAGCACCGATAGGTTGTCAATCAGAACAATAGAGCACTTCAGGCTTAATTGTGAAAGAACCATAAACTCTGAGGATTCCAGAGTTCATTTTGAAATACCACTTATGTTTTTACACCTGAAATTACAACAGTTATTGGGTTCTTTTCCATCTTATTTTTACTACCATATTACCCAATCTGTCCCCTGTAAGGCTGGGAAGTGTACAGCTAAAAAGACTTAAGGTACTCAGTGTGAGTGCCCTGCCCTGCCCCTCAGGGTGCTCAGCAAGGGCTGTCCACTGCTCCAGGCCCACTCAGCAGCAGAGTGAATGACCCTGCAGGACACCGAGAGGAAAGCTTTTGTTTTTCACTTACATGAAGTATGAGGCTAAATGTGCCTTTCAGTCCTCTAATCACCCATGATCTCTGGAATTTGTCTTTTCTGTGAAACCAGTAAGTACCATCTTGTCCTCAAAGGGGGATATCTGTCCCATTAGGGCATCAAGTTCTTTGCTCCCTGCAACATGCTGCTCCTGGCTCAGGAATCTACAAAGCAGCCTTTGATTAAAACAGGGCCTCAGTGTCAAGAGATTCTATGGTCTTCGAGAAGCAAGTGAAAAACTGGCTGTCATTTGGGTAAATCTGAGCAATTTCAGGATCCTAAGGAGGAATTTATAAGCAAAATCTATCCCAATGGAAATTACATTGAAACTTGAGAGAATTTCTAACACCTAACAGTTACTGTGGCTTGGAAGGAGAAAATGTTCCTCTTCAGAAGCCAAATCAAATCTTGCCTCCTGGCTACAGGATTCCACAACATGGGGGCTTCAATGGTTAACTGAAAGAACACTAGCGGTATTTTGGAGCATATTATGTGGCATATGTCTGCCCTGAGATCATCCTGTATCCCTGATGATAGGAAACTGGCAGGCAGAGTGTGCAAGCAAATAAAAAAGACAAATACATTCCAAAGACAGGTGAATTAGTATACATCGCCGAGAACATGCAGTGGAATCCTTTCAGGTTTGCCGGATTCATAAAGTCTGTGTTTGTACCCAGACCTGGATAAAGGTGAATATTCATTCACTCAACCCTATGATGCAGTGGTGCAGAGCTGCAAGTCTGACTGAATTTTCTGAGGAATAAGGTGAAGTACTCAAGTTTCTTTTTATATTCATACTGCCAGGGATGGTAGCTCAACCATGTTTTACTTCTTTAGTGACTATTCCCACCAGAAAGCACTGAAATACAGTAACGACTAACTCAAGGAGTTTATCCTGCATGTGCACCCTGACACTCACTCCCCAACACACAGACACACTCTGGGCACTTCTACAAAATTCTCTCAGTCACATGTGCATAGATTTGGGGCCATCATGGAATTTGAGCCTGTTTCCTAAATGAGCCCGTTTCCTAAAAGCCGGTGATATATGCTCACATAGGAAAGCATCTTAACATCTTGCATCTTACTAGTTGAATTCATAGAATCATCCTCAGTGTGTCTCTACATTACCAGAGAAAAACACGCAACCTGTCATGTTTCTAAAGAGCTTCTTGCTAACTTTATAGGCAGTGGAATTTACCTGGGGAAAAGATTATTAGAAAGATAGACCTAGATGCTGCAATGTGCACTGAAAAATTATAGCACGTGGTAATTTATGTTTTCAACACACCTTGCTCTTCTGCCAGTCATTCTACACATGAGTCTAAAATTAAAGTCAAGAAGCCAAGATGGTGAAGTTCTCTTCATGAACATCTCTGCATCTGCTCACGATAAGAGAGTCCTACTAACCTTGGAATGGGTGTCCAGAAATCTGAATTTTAAATCCAGATCTGACTCTAGCTATGACCTGGGCAATTCTCAGGCATGCAAGGAAGAGTGTAGACTCTGTGATCCTTTTAGAAATCCTATCTAACTGGGATTTTTCAAATACTCAAGCTTGTGAGGCCTCTGGTGTCTTGAAACGCCACAGTGATACTTCCAGATTTCCAGGACACAATTACAATGTGTCCACATCAGCACTCGTTCCTTCTAACTTTCTAAAGTGGCTAATGGATCTTTAATTTTAGAAGGCTTTTGAGAGCTTACTGTCCAACATACCTCTCATTTGTACTTTGGGTAAGATGTCTGCCTTAGAAAACAAGAATGCTGGGGGAACCTAACTCTTCCCTTAGTTACAATGTGAAAGTCACTGTATGTCCTGGGGCACCAGATGTCCTCTGCCAAGTTTCCCTAAGGTTCATGGACTGTGTTGTCTCCGTAACAAGACTCAAAAGATAAAGTGGATCTTAGACCCTTCCATTTCTAGGACCTAGAAGTCCTAATGCAAATATATATAAAATTCTCACATCTTTCTGTGATGAGGAAATAATTTTATTTTCCTTAGATTTTAAGACGGTCAGGGAAGATGGAAAAGGAAACCAGTAAAGACCTTAAACGAGTGGTGGGGGTCGGGGGATGGGATGGGGAAGAGACACCTTATGAAGGTATCAGGGGTATGGAGGGATGATCCCCCCATCCCCCAACTATGACAGAGGACTTCCCCCTCCCAATCACCTACTTGCATTAAATAGCCAGACTGAATTTGTAATTAAATGAATATCTTACTGTAGTGTAAATGTTCCAATAAGACATTTTGTGGGTTTTGGGTTTCTTTACAGTGAATAGAAGATAGTAGCAGATAAAATATATCCTTAATACTTATTTTGCCTTAGTCATCAAGGATTGCATTTTGCTCAACAGACCAACAATAGCTGTGTGGAAGCAGCAGGTGTGTGAATTTGTGGCATTAGGAGGCAACATGATTATACTTCTCCAGACCAATGTCTACCGACAATAACAGCACAAATAATATTTCAGATTAAATGAAGTTCTTTATATCAGTTTAATGATGCATGTGAATTTCTGGAGAAAAATATGTTGAATTAGTTGTTATTTTGTGCAATAGTCTTAATTTATCCATAGATTTGGACTTGAAATTTTGTAAGCATTTACAACAGAGTTTTTCTCTGTCTTCTATGGCAACAGATCCATGAATATTCACAGTGACTCACCAGCATGCTCTGAGGATATGGTAAAAGGTAGTGAGGTTTTAGCATTCTGATGGGGCTTCTACATTAGGATATTGCATTATATCACACCCATGTCCAAAAAGAAAAGTCATATTTTATCCAACATGCATTAAACAGAGAAACTGGAAAAATGAGATAGAAGTAATATTAGCGCTGCTAGCAATGAGCAAAAAGCAGAGCAACTACACCATGCACCATGCAGAAAGGAAGAAAGGAAAAAAAGTACTGAAGCACCAGAGAGAGATGCATTTGTTAAAAGAGATTCTCTAAGCATACTAACCTGCTGGTTCTAATGAATTTTCTACTTTGTCGTTAACATCGAAAACACGATCATGAACACCTATAGTTTTCATACAGCTATCTATAACAAAAATAGAGATAACAGCCAAATATGTTAGTGAAGACACCCTTTAACTCCCATTTCTTTCTTTTTTCGTTCTCTCTATTTTTCCTTTTATTTCTCTAGAGATTATTTTATAATCAATGGCATATATCCAATGCCAATATTGTTCCCATTGGCTATGCACATACAACAGTCTAAGAAACAACAAGTTAGCAACTGCTGTGTACTTCAAATAAAAGCATCATGAATGATGAGAAAAAATATGATGAAAACTAAAACATGGATGTTGATATACAAAACAGATACCACACAGGATTTAACAGTAAAATAAAAGTTTTACCGCTGTGAACCAGACCACACAATAAAGCATGCGCGGTGAAGCCACCCTCTGATGCTCATTCTGTGAACTTACTTGTTGGTCTTACAAAGACTTTGAGCTTTAGACAGGACCTTCTTCCATTATCTGGGATGGCAGAGGCTGTGAATGAGACAAAAACAGAGAACAAGAGAAAGGAAAGAACAAGAACTGATTACTCTTCGTTTTCAAAGGCAAGCTCTACAAAAAACTCTTTCCTGAACATGGCAATATACCTGAATCTTCCCAGAAGTTAACACAAACAGTACCTTTCAGATGGGGACAAGCTGCTGTCGAAACAGCCAGTTTCCTATCCCTATCAATTTCTCTTTTCAATACAATAACAGAATGATGTGAGAATGTTGGTAATCGACAGCAAAATACTTAACACGATCTGTTAACAATTTTCTTGAAAATACGTGGAGAATGCTTGAGCTCCCCTGCTTTCACAGAGCTGCTCCTGGTCTCCTGTGGGGAAAGAGCCCACCAGAGACCAAGGTGAAAGTGCTGCAAAAGCAGTGACAAAGTTATGGAGCCGACTACTCATGACCTGTTTCTGATGGGGAAAGCAAAGCTTTGTCTGTCCCGAGATCCCGTCCATCAACGCTTCGCAGGTAATTCAATTAAAGGCTTTCCTAAGAGCTTGGCTCCGAGTTCGATATGACTAAACGGGGCCAGCACCCTCCACCATGCTATTATAAGTACAATATGCTATTGAGAAAGTACTTTGTTGCCATGGCACATTTATTTAAAAAAATTTGCCACAGAGAAGGATGGAATTAATAAAGTGGGTCTACCAAAAACATGACAACATGTTTCAAGTTATAAATCATTTAGGAAGAAACTTTCTTCTCCTCTTCAAGATAATGAGACTATAAACTTTCCCTGTGTTTGAAAGAGTATCTCCCCTCAGTCCTTACAGCATAATGTCAAAGAGATTTCCAAGGGGGGTAAGACCCTTAAAAATCACATGTTTACTCATGCATGCGAGAAATGACAAAAATTAGAGAACTGAGTGCCACATACTTTCCTCCCTATGTGTTTGCTTCAAGTGGTTTCTTTGTTCAGAAAAAGCAGATGACATCAATCAATATGCACATGGCTTCCAATTAGTTCGGTTGTGCCCTCAATGACAAAGTAAGTACTCATGTTTGCATGCCTTCCCTCTGCTTTATCTTTTTTTTTCCCCTCATGGAGGGGGGGGGGTCCAGAAAACTAAAATGCTTATTTTGCAGGTGAAAGGATTCAAGATGCAAACACCAAAGTGATTTTGTATGAATCCCCCATGGAACTACAGATTGATGTCCTTGAGGAGAACTTACAAATTCACCATCTAAAGGACATCAAGCTGTAAAGGAACTCTAGTGTCACTATTCAGTACCTGTTGAAAACTTAATTTTAAGACAAAAGTCTACAGAAAAGATGTTTTCTACCCTCCTCATCTCCCCTCTTCATTCTGACAAGCAGTTAAGAAGTGCTAACAGCTGGCTCTGCTGTAGGCTTTCATTAAATCAAAGTTGAAAAAACTCCCTCTACTGACATTTACAGTAACTAGTGTGTTATTTAGGGCACAATATTTGCCCTCTGTGGCTTTATCCAGGAAATGGTGTCCTTCCTGTGGACCCCACTATAAATGTGCACATCACAAATGCAACAGACATAGGTGACTCCAATTCATTAGAAAAACCATGGTTTCTTGAGAGTTTATGTCTTATTCATGAAAGCTGGTGTGAGAAGTGACACGTGGATATTTACACTGCTGATCTATGGATTTCTGAGCTAAGATGAACTTACTATAAGCCTCATGGACTTGAAATGCTACATGCAATAAGTGATTTTACTGGTGATACTGCAAGATATAAATGGCTCAAGGCAGGATCAAATATTTAATTGTTTTAGTGGGAACTTCTTGAAGTTAGTTCAGGTCTTTTAGATCTATATGTAGGAGATCAATCATATAAATCCAGGACAGGCAAAGCACTGGAATAACTAAACTGCAACAAATGATAAGCAGAGAGTTTTCCCTACTAGCTCTCAAAGAGGAACAATTAGTTTCAGCTAGAGATGAGCTATATTCTTCTTTGAATTAAGAATATAAAATACATTTATATAAAATAAAAATCTCTCTTCATCATACTTCCCCAATACTTCATTGCTTTTGTAGCAACAGAAAAGCTGTAATAATCATGAGACTGATGTTTTGTGATACTGTTTGACTATTACATTCCAATCTTTAGAAAAAATGATGAACAAAAAATATAATGTGAGTACAGGACACTGATTTCATTAAATCAGTTAACTCGGTAATTTTCTACCTGAGCTCGGGGAGGAAATGCCAGGGCATCAGCACTAACCTGTAAGGGTGGCCTCGCAAGATCATTACAAATTGTATTCCTTATTTACCACACTAAAAAGTAAAATTAAAACCAACAAGAAACACTTTCATATATCAGCAAGACTCAATTTTAAATTGAGGATTTTAAAAAGTGAAAGTGTACAACATTTATGTTTTCTATTTTACCCTATTCCGCTTGGCTCACAAATGTAAAATACCTTTGTGCTACTTACAGATTATTAACCATTAGTAATATTTGAAGATATAAGGTAATATAAAAGTGCTTCACTAGTCACAACATAGGAATCAAAATATACAATACTCCTCAAGGTAAATATATAAAGAAATTTATTTCAGGATCAATTATGAGCAAAAAAAAAAAATCGTCAGAAAGTACATAATGTTAATCCCTATGATTCTGTGGATACATATGACAAATGTAAAGAAAATTTATATATAACTTATGCTTCTAATCACTATTTCAAAACTGTTAGTGAATAATTACGAACATGTAGTACATCCTGCAGCTTCATCCATCCAAGCACATTTAAAGTTCTTATTATGTGCTAGCTTCCCCATTAGGTGCTATGGTTACACAGATGTGCAAGACAGACTGTCCCTGCTTCTTATGCTGTGCTTACTCCAGATGGAGACATAAATATGAACCACAGTTTAGGGCACCTCCAGGGACATGTGTGATAACTGAGGTTTGTGTGGATTGCAGGCACAGCTTTGGGCATGGAGTGTCAGGGTGTCCCAGACATGTTTATCAGAGGGAATTTTAGCAGAGGCTTTGCAGGTCCTCCAGAAGCTAACCAATAGTAATGGGATAAAAGAATTAAAACAGTTCATCACTAAGTTCCCAAATTGGAGCTTTAGCAACAACAAAAAAAGAGCTATTAATCTGCAACAGATGAAGAGGATATATAGATGGAACTTATTTTAAAAGACATGTATTTTCATTCTGTCCAAATCAGAATGAGAAAGTGAATCCATGTCTTACAATCCAAACTCATATCCCTTTATTCATTTCCCTGCTCAAAATGTACCCTTGGAGTCAGGCAAGGCTAGGAGACCATTAAAAAAACACAACTTCTCAATTCATGATCTTAATAGCAACTTTATAAATCTATGATGGGTCCCTTCCCCCAAAAGATCTGCAAAATACCAATCACAACCTTACAACACATAATGAAACAGAAGCTGACAACCCTCTTGTCCTGTGCTCAGACTATCACTCTAATGAGGCCAGGGGGCTGCTTATCGTCACGCTGTTTCATAACCTCAGATTGGGCCCTCACTTCAACCATTCCCCAAAACCTGTTACTTCAGTTTCCTGACTCTTAGGTGAGCACAGCTGAGCACTTAACAGCCAATCTGATATGTAAAGGAGACCACATTCAATGCTCTAAAATTGGTACTTCAAAAAGAAGTGTTTAGCATGACAAATATATGTAATATTCATGTTACATTTAACCATGGGCTTATCAGTAAGACGCGGGAAGAGGCCACGGGCCTCACACTGTGGTGGGCAGTTCTGCTATGGCTCCTTGTATGTGTGCCTCTGCGTATCCCCTTGCCCTTGCCAAGGACTGGGGCTAGTTTTTTTCTCTTTTTTTTTTTTAAAGATTATTTATGCACACAGGAACTGGGGTACAGGCCAGAGGTGTGGGGTGGAGGGTGAGAGGACTCACCAGACAGAGTGGGGAACAGAACAGGCAGGTTGACTGAAATACACTGCTGAGGGGAGCAGCGGACAAGACAGGAGAGGTCTGCTGTGCCATGTGGGCAGCTCCCTGGCTCGGGATCGAACTCATGCTGCAGTGGCTACGGACAGCTTCATAGGTTGCATCTTAACCCCTTGCACCACCAGGGAGGCCCTTTTTTTTTTTTTTTTTCCTTTATTGAGGTGACATTGGTTTACAACACTATACATGGTTTAGGAAAAAGGTTCACACCTCCTCAGCTGTAGGTTACCACTCCACAGCCAACATCAAAGCACCCATACCTTTACTCTAGGCCACTGGGCCACCTCCCCTTTTGTTTTCACCCTGCTCTCTCCCTCCCCCTCTAGCAGCCTTAATTCTGCAGTCATATTTCTAGGGTTTGTTTTGGTTAAGTTTGTGAGTTCCATTGTTGTTTTTTTCCCTCTATATTACACATATGAGTGAAATCACCTAGTATTTGTTTTTCTCCTTTAGATTTATTTCACTTAGCATAATCCCTTCCCATTTCATCCATGTTTGAACTTAATAATTTGCTTCTTATGAGATGAAGACAGCACAAGTGATGAGAGATGACTTCTGTGACTGATGCAAAAGACTCGACCTCTTCTTGCTATCTCTCTCACTTATGAAGTAACATGCCATATTGTGAGATTCTCAGCAGAGAGGGCCACATGGCAGGGGAACGAGGGAGATCTAGCCAAGAGTGGGCAAGGAATGGAACCAGATAAATTTCAAGTGAGTGAGCTAGCTAGTGTATCTTCAGCTGAGCCTTGAGAAGACTCACCCTGTAATAGAACCAGACCCAAAGGACTCAACTAAACTGCCCCTGGATTCATGACCCACAAAAACTGTGAAATAATAAATGTTGCTTTAACATTTTGGGGTGATTCTTTACTCAAGGGCCAACTGATACAATACTGTATACAAACAGATTCAGGCACTCAAAGGCCTCCATTGCCAAGCTGAGACCTAACCACTAACATGTTCTCTGTAATGGACAGCCATGCCCTTGCTCCCACCAGCAGTTTTTTCCCATCCTGCTCCCTTTTCTAAACAACTGG